CTCTAGTATAAAGCTTTGCCTTAACATGTGTAAGTTTCTTTCTGATTATACGACCATTTTCAGATATTCTTTTAATTAAGGATCTAGGCCTGTGGAGTAGCACCATATCTGTTAGTAAACAAAACATGTGGTTACAATCTATTAGGTTGTCCGAATTTGAAAGAGATAAACAATACTAATCTTTTGATAAAGGTAAGCTGTTTTGCCCACTTTTTTCAAAAATTTTGTTGAAAGTACAAGTAGGTGATAGTAAATAGTATAGATCTAGTACTTTTCTTTAGTAAAAGTATATATTTCTTCAAGAGTAGTAAAACAAGTAGGTCTGAGCATATTGCTGCTTTCCTTTTTGGTAAGTAATAAACTCTGAACTTGTTATCAAGTAGTGTATAAGAACTACTTCTAAATAACAAGTGCCATCCCCATGGTGAGTGATAAGCTCTAAACCTATTAGCAGATAGCATATAAGAACTATCTCTAAATAATAGGTACTGGTTTATAGTTTTTGTTAGTTTTATATTCTTTTTCTAAAACATATTTTACTGTTTTTTGTTGAAATTTTGGTTTTGAAAAGTTGGTCTAAGAGATCATTGGAAAGAGTTCTGTGGTTTTGTTTCTTTTGTAATTTAAATATTTTATATTAAGCTTAAATAATTTAAAATTAAAATATTTATTATTTTTTTATTTGTTAATTTTTTTAATTTTTTATTTTTATTTATTAAAACTTTAACTCTAAGCTTGAAATTTAAATAAAAATTTTAAAGCTCTAATTTTAACTTTAAAACTTAAAATTTAAAATTTTATTTTTTATTTTATTTATTTTTAATTTTATCTATTAAAATTTTAAACCAAAATTTTAATTCAAAATTTTAAAACTTTATTTTTTATTTTGGATTAATAAATTTGTAATTACAGTTATTGTAATCATACTGTGTAGTATTAAATTAAGCCAATTAAATTTCAAAATCAAGTGTAATACAAAATCAAGACAAAAACTATTTTTTTTAAAAAAATTTTTAATAACACAAAATTTTAATTATAAAACCATTTTCTCCTTTTAACTACATCACGCTCCTAGGCAACTCTACCTCAATTCCAATCCACATCCTTAACAACATTATAAAAGATGCAGCCTGCAACTCTAACTAACTATAAATATTATTACAAGATATAAGCAAGACCTATAACTTAGTTAACTCTAGTTTATTCTAAAAATCACTATATAGAATTGGCATGTCCAGACTTCTTATTAACATCTTTACTAATCTTCTTACAGACCATTCCAACAGAGTTATCATGAATCTTGGCCTGACTAATTTCTACTCTATTCTGAATGGTATCAACTAAAGAGAAACTATCACTTTACTGTTTTGGAGAATCTACTACAACTCACTAATTATCAAAATATCTATACAATTACTAGGCTACACTATGCATGCCTTATGGCAAACTAGTCTAACTTCACCCTCTACCAAAAGGCTACACTGCTCTATATCTGTTCTTATATATATGGATAATACTATCTGAATTGCCCAAACTAAAGAAGAACTAAAAAGAATTATACAGATAGCTTCATCTTTTTACAACATAGCAAATATCCAAGTTAATCCTTCCAAATTGATCTTTATATCAAATCAAGTTAATGTTTACATCTCCTTTCTACAAACAAACCTTACAACAATTTCTATCAGCTAGCTATTCAAATTTCTAGGCTGCTGGTTTATACTTAACAACAAGCACTCAAAACAAATCAAGCTTATCTGAGAGGAAGTACTTAATTTAGCCTATACTGCTAATTTAAAAAAAATAACTGACAAACAAATAGCTTATATTATTAATACAGTCATAATTTTTACAATAGAATACAGAGTTTACAATCTAGTCATTCCCTAATTCGTATATATGCAAATCCTTAGCAAGTACTTTACAATCGCCAAGTACAAATCCCATCTATCCAGATTCACACTAATAGTACAATGCTCTGTCACAAAATCTACAATATTCACAACATCTAGGATATTTAACTCCAGCACCATACTAACAACCTACTCCTCAGAGTTAACAATAGCTCTACTCTTGAAACTACTACTCACATTAAACTATAGCAACTACAAACCAATTTTTGGTCAACTACTAGTATATTTTAATATCCTCAACCTATTATATATGGACCTAATAGATATACCACTATATCTAAAATAATCCAACTACTCAAGCAAAATGGTATTAGCCTAACCATTAACCTGGATAGAGCATAGCTACAACTAATTCAAGATAGCAATACATCACTTAAACCCATACTTACCAAAAGTTCCAAGTACAATATTTTTAAACAACAGCTCTAAAACAAAAAGATTCTTTATTTAGAACAGCTCTGCTCAGCAGACAATAAACACTTACTCAAGTGGCAACACATCTCACCTAGACTTCTACACCTCCTCAAAGGAAAAAAACCAGGCTAGTTTTCATTTCTAGAAAATATTATAGTGAACAATCTACTCTACCAGACTATATACTCACAATACCAATCACTAGATACCAATCCCTTTGTATACCAATCCAAAACTATTCCAAAAAGACTCAAACTATGGATACTTACCTACCAACAAGACAAAATTATTATAGGACAAATAAAGAAAAACTTCAAACAAGCCAACACAGTTTTCATTATATACTAGCAATACAACATAGATACAAAACACTACCTACTATACCCTTTACTCCCTATTATATGCAACCTATGCTATGGCTGCAACCTCAATTTCAACTGACTTGCAAGCTATTGCAAATTTGAAGTTTTTACTATATTATCTACATAGTTCCTTAGTAGAAAAACAATTAACAAGAAACTGCAGCTCCATACTAATTATGTAGACCTTCTATACTCTACTACAATTAAACACCCTATTACAATTCTACCTTTACCCAACATAAATATTACAGACTCTCTAGCCCCAACTCTCTTCCTTAATAACAAAGCATGCCAGATCCTAGCACAATATGCCTCTAGCAATACTAATAATAAAATATTCACATTTTATACAGATAGTTCAGTATCTAATATAGGTACCAGTAACTGCTCTATGGGAGTAGGCTAGGTTCAAATAAATCAAGACCAGGTTAGCAACAGCTTCTCAGCCAAGATCTCTAACTAGCTCTCATTATACAAAGCTGAGCTAGTAGCAATACTGTTTGCTATTGCTACACTACTCATAATGTTAAAGTTAACATATTCAAAGACTCTCAATCAATTATATCAAAGTATTATAAACTCATGCAAACTTCTTCCAAGTCATCCAAATACTTCAAGTTTAACTACTGGCCTATCTGGCATACTCTCCTAAATACTGTCAAAGTATTTAATATCTAGCTTACATTGTACAAAATCCAGGCATACTTAAACAACAGATTTAACAACATTGCTGACACTCTAGCCAAAAAACAACAACAAGCAGCTACTCCTACCCTTTCATTCAACCATACCAGCATATACAACCCTCACTTTACTATTTAGTAGAAGAAATATAATATTGAAAAACCTACAAGACTATTCATCAAAAACATCTGTAGAACATACACTACCAAACTGTGGTTATTACAAAAACACAACATAGAATGGGAAAACTTTGCTCAAACAATTGACTGGAGCTCTACTTGGCATTATCTTAACAATAACCAGAAAATTACTTCTAATATCACATTCCCCAAACTAAGCTAAATAAAAGTATTTTGAATCAAACACTTGCTTAATGACTTGCTATTGTACTTTTACTTTTACTATATTTCCTCTAGTATTTACCAAGCTAGTACGATAGAAGAAATAGCATAACATATTATCTCATAACAAAAACATATCAACAAACAGAAAAGCTCATAACTACACCAAGCTGCTTCAAAGAAAGTTTACTTACAACTGCCCCTGTAGTGTAGCCAATTAATTGTATGAGAACAATAGTACCTGTCTTTTCAAGAGACAGGTATAACTAAAATTTGATCAATAGTCTATAATGTAAGCCCAATATAGTATACATACAAATTACATATTAACTATTAAAATCTAGATGAGTCTTGACTACTCTAGTAGGTTTAGATCGCAGATAACTTACTTAGCTCTGGTTAAGTCTCTAGTTCAAGCTCCCATTCTTGTATATAATTTATATTTTTTGTTATTATACAAATTAAGTTGTTACTTCTATATAATTACTTGTATAAATTACCTAATAAAGATATTAGCAAGGCCTTATCTTAATACCAAAAATATATATATATATATACCATCAACCACTTTTATTATTTTGGAGCTTTGAGGCTATATAGGGCCTTTGCAGTAGAAAGGGCCGAAACTCAGAAATATATAAATTTGAGATAATCATGTTTATCTTTTTCGGACTAATCCGGGTTCATCAAAAATTTTGTGATATAATTGGTTAGTTATATCGGGTAATCTCGTGATTTACGAGTCTTCTAAAAAGATTTTTTTTTAATATCTCAATTTTTTATTATGTAAACCAATTTCCATTTATAATTGAAAAATGTAGCCTGATTCGAAATTTATTTGAATCTTGAAAAAACTCATTTTTAATTTTTGGGGAGTTTGGGCCCTTTCTATTGCAAAAGCCCCATATATATAGTAAGATATTTTCTTTTATTTAATTATATTTGATTGCTAACTTTTCTTTTTGAAGCTTCTAAATTCACTTCTGATTTTATATACATCTACTTAGCTTATTTCTCTTTGGAAGCCTTTATATATATATTTTTTTATCAACTATTATTGTGACAGAAACTGGAGGCAGTGCACATACATGCGCATTAGTTACAGCTATAACTATTTAATGTTTTTCTTTTATTTTTGAATCATATTTTCATATTCTTTTGGCTTTTTATCACATAGCACTGCCTTATACAAGCCTTACTATATACTAGCTTATATAATAAATAAGTAGCCCAAGATACAAACAATTAGTCTAACAAGACAAACAAATATTAAATAATTGCTTTTTTTAGATTAACATTCCTTGGGTTAGGTTACTACTCTTTGGATTAATGTTACTATCCCCAGGGTTGGAGTTGTCACCTCCCTGGGTTGGGTTACCACCATCTTGGTCAGGTTTCATACTCTAGATTGGGTTATTCAAACTCTGGATCAGATTAATGCTTTCTAAGATAAGTTAACACTTTATAGGTTAATGATCTATTTTCAAGGTCATGGTAATTTTTTTAGTAACAAGCTTAACTGTGTTAAATAATTAATAATTATATAAATATCATAGCTCTCACTAACTATAATTGGGTTTATTGGCAAAGATGGCCATGGTTACTAACTCAATACAAAGTAGATTTTGTGGTTTATTTTATAGAAGTAAAAGAGTTAAAACTTTATTTTATTTTCTTAATTTTCTTATATATATTGGGTTAGACTTTTTAATTAATTATATCATAATTTCGGTTTTACACGATTCTTTGATTTTGTCTTAATTTATTTTGTCATAATTAATCATATGATCTTTAACTATTCTTAATTACAATCTGGATAAATCTGTCATCTATTTATCTATACTTAAATTTATCTGAATATCTATTTACTATTAGTATCTAACAAATATTCAGATAATTATCCAGATATTATTAGTAAAATAGATATCCAAATAAATTTAGTTCTGGATATTCAATAGATAAATAAATAAATGGATAATAGATAGGAACTCTATATAGATTAATTTGAATTACATATACTTAATGCATTTTAACTGATAATACATACTTTTTCTGATTATATTCACCTGTGATTTAGATAATGATATACAAGATTACGATTATATATGCAAAACTTTTCAAATGCACCAAGTATTTAATTATTTATCATAATCTTATTTTTACTATATTTATCTATTTATTTTTATTTATTTATTTTTTTAGTCACTCTAATATTAATTGAACTTCTTCTCTATATTTATTTTCCTTACTACATATCTTAGGTCCAAACTTTTATTCTGTTGCTGTTCTTGATTGTGATAATATTTATTTGTGTCCATTAGTATTTTGTTGTCCAATAGTAATATATTGTTATTAAATGGTAGTATATTTTCAGTAAGTATTAGTATTTCTGTAATAACTGTGTCCTCTATTGGTATTAGAATAGATATATTAATCTTTGGACTAGAGATGATACTTGCAAATATTTGTACTATGCTTGGATTAGGTAGTGCAGCTGTATTGTTAAATATACTCCAACTAGAAGTTGGAAGAAAAGGAAAATCAAGCAAGAAGTCAAGAATCTTTATGATTGTATAAAACTGTCAAAGAGTCTTTATAGTTGGAGTGATGTTAGATTGGTTTTGTATAAGAAGTATATTAATAATTTCTTGTCTAGATAGAGTCTAAATGATATCTTCAAAATTCTCTAAGATATTAAGAAGAGTTTGTTTGTGGTTAGTGTCCTTGGCATTAGTGAGTTTGTTATATTCAATTTAATTTAGTCTGTAGAAAGCTGTCTAAAATAGTAGCATTTGCAAAGCATTTTGGCTATAGTTATGAGTTGTTGTGAGATTGTAATTAGAAGAAAAATATTATAGATTTTGCAGTTGGCAAAGCAGGTTTGTTGGTGGGTTGGCTTGCATAATCTCTCAGGAAGTGGAAATTGAATTCTGTAGCAAGAAGAGACTTGCTTGATGAACTCTCTAGCCTTTGTATTGTTAGTAATAGAAAAGTTAAAAGATGTAGTAGTTTTGATTTTGCTCATATCTATGGAAAGAGAGAGTTTGGTAGCAAAGAAGTTATTAGGTAGTAGTTTAACTGTATAGTATTCTCTAAGTTGAGCTATAACTTCTGCTAATAGTATAAGAGATATAGCTTGGTTAAAGGAAAAGAATTTATGAACTTTGTAGTTAAGCTTTTAGTATGTTGTAGGTAAGTTTTTTAAGTGATTGTAGATCGAAGTATAAGTCTGAAATTTTAGTAACCATATCAAAATCTGCTAATTTCCTTTTGTATAGGACGAGATGTTGTAATGAGAATCTGTGAGAAATAGGGAACAGTTGGTGTAAACTTGATGTAAGTCTATTATAGTAAAGAGAAAGTAGGAAAGTTTAGTAAAGTATGTCTCAGAGAGTTTAAGAAACTTAAAAATTCTTCTTAAAGTATTAACTATAGCTCTAGTATGTATTTGTTGTATAATCAGAAGTTCAAAGAGTAAGATCTTTAAAATTTCTTTAGATATTTGCTCTGGTATATCTGGAAGTAGGATAAGCTTGTCCTCAAGTGCTTTGTTGATTTGTGCTTTGATTTCTTTGAGAGTTTTCTCACTAGCATTTTTGATTTGCAGGAAACCTTTAGCATACTGAATAGCTCTGCATAGTTGTCTATATATGCTTTTAAAAAAATTAATATTGCAAAGGTATTGGCTAATGAGCTATTTTTTAAGCTTTGAGTGGATGGTATTATGAATAGTAGTATTAGTAAGTATGATGTTATTTTCTTGTTTGTATATAGTAAGAGCTTTGTTGAAAAAATTAGTATATTCTTTTTAGTATACTAGGGTGGTTTTTGAATTGCATGTAAATGTGGTGAAGAATCTGGTATCTTGGTAGATGAACTTAAGAGCAATTGTATCTGGCAGCTTATAATGTATTGGAATAGTAATAAGCTTGTAGCTAGTGAGATTATATACCTCTTTAGATTTTTTAAGACCTTTGCAATAGTATCAAATGACCAGAGGTTTGTATCAAAGGATGTTTCAATAAGTTTGGTAGGTTTGAGATATACTTCTGTAGCCCACTTCATATCATCTTATGGGGTATTAGTTGCAAGAAGTTTAAGGTTTGTTTTAGTAACTTGATTGTATGTAGAACTTGTAGTTATCTTCTTGCTTGCTTGTATTCTAATTGGTATAGAGGTATATTTATGTATGGCTTTAGTGGCTCTGTTTGTAGTTGTAGTAAGTAGAAATATATTGGACATGTTCCTGGATCTTTTACAGTTAGAGCTAGAGTTAGCTATAGTATCAGCAGGGTATAGCTTGAGGTAGATATAGTAAGTATAGGAGGGTGATTTGTTTAGTAAGTATACTAGGTTTGGGAATATTAATCATAGTAGTACTATCAGTATTGGAATTACTTATAGTATCTGTACTAGAGATTTTATTTGTAGATAGTGCAAAATCTTTGTGATTACTATTTGTACTATTATTTATATATTATGTATTTGAGTTATAAGGTAGGCTAGAGCTAGTAGTAGTATTATATATACAATGAGCTCATTGGTACTTTTGTTTAACTCATTATCTGAGTCTAGGTCTGCAATACTATTGTATAGAATTAGTGGTAAATCTGCATTGTTTTTGGCTTTCATATAAGGTTTCATGTTGCTTTTGTAGGAGTTTGTTATTGCTGTAATATTACTATTACATATAGATTTGGGATATTTGGTACTAATGTTTACAATATTGTTTTTCTGTGTGGTAAGGTCAAATAGAACTGATTGGAGAGAATTATTATGTTTGCAGATCTACTAGAATAGATAATTGGTCAAGTTAGTAATTTTTCCTGATTTGGTAATATTGATGAAGAAGATGAAGGTGTTAGCATGTTCAGGAATAGAGAAGCTAATTGTAAAGGTGAGTTTAGACCAGTTCTTAATAGTGATATTTAAAAAATTTTTAATGTGTTCTGTGTCTGAACTCAGAGATAAGCTACTGGTAATAGTATCTTTAGATTATACAGGTTTTATGAGTTGAGAAAAATAATTAAAGATATATGAAAAGCTTTCTGATACCATGTTTGGGCGAAGTCCTGGGGTCTATTAAGATACTGTACCTGCTGTTTCTGACTACTTTTGCTTATAGTACTATTGATAGTTTGCTTTAGATTATTAGAAAGTAAGAGTTCTTAGGACCGCTTTCATAGAAGGATTGAAAAACTGCTTTTTTGTTATTTGAGGTGTTTATTGCTACTGGCTTGTCAAAATAAGGTTTTTTTAAAGAAACTTGACCTCCTTTGGGTAGTTATTGGGATGCTGGACAACTTTACTTAGAAGCTAAATATCAATTTACTTAGTAAGTTTTTGAGAAAAAATCATGAGAAAGTTTTTTCTTCTTGTTTCTATTTTAGTAAAGTAATTTACAGGAAAAGTTAACTTTTAAATAATTTTTTTGATAATGTTTGAAAATAAGAATTATATTATAGTAGTATTTAATTTTATATTATAAAAAAAATTTTGGGTTGCTTATAAGTTAAAAATAAATAAATTTTAAAAAAAAATTTAATAAAAAAAATTATTTACAAATTCTTAACAAACTCTTTAAATATTAGTTTTAAACCCATAGTTCTTAATACAATATTGTAATTATATAAAAAATAACAACTTAAATTTCTAAAGCAAGAGCTTTAAATTTTTATTACTTAAAGATTTCTAGTAAAATTAAAAAAAATTTATAATAAGTTTATAAAATATGGTTTAAATAAAATCTTATATCATATATATAAAATATACCCCATATTATTAATAATTTTTAATTTTATTTAAAAAATTATAAATTCTTTTCAAAATTCTAG